CCTGTCATTTCAGAACCTGCCGACCCAGCTAGCCCCTAGGAGAGGCTGCGGCCCGTCTAGGCTGCAGTCAGTAGGACCAGGGAGTCTCTCTCTTGCCCCAGTGCCCATGAAGACCTTTGTCCCTCCATGTGGTCTCATCACTGTGCCTCTGCTTTAACGTAACTGCCGAATCGGTATTCATTCACTTCCGGTTGGGCAGTGTTGTCCCTACCACTCACTCAGCACTGGGGATCAGCGCATTCAGTTTGATTCATCACAGAGAGAGCAACTAACCATGTTCCTGGACAAAAATGGGAAGAAAAAGAAAGCTAGTACAGTCAGTGACTAATGGAAATGATGCAGAATGAACTATTTATTTCATTGAAGTTGTGTGGCGTGACGTGAACATCAGTGCCTTGCTCTCAGATGTGAGACTGTGGCTGTTGATGACCAGGGGAGCAGTCCAGGTGGCACCTGCACGAGATGCACCTGCGGGCCACCTCACCATGACGCAGCCTGACCTGGCCTTCCCTCCACAGGAACCCACTTTCAAGCCTTGCCAGATGAAGACGCACTTCCTGCTTCCTTTCCCCGTGAACTATGTCGGCGAATGTGTCAGAACTGCCCCCTACACCGACCCTGACCATGCCAGGTACAAACGATGCAGGCGTGAAAACCAAGACTCTAAGGAAGGACACAGGGTGGCTGGAGAGAGGAGGGTCAGCGAGGGACGAGTCGTGGTGGGTCCATAGACCTCAGAAACCTGAGGCTGCCACTGGGTTCCAGGAAAAGTCCATGTAGGAAAGGTAGTCACAGTGTATGCTCTGTGTTTTAGTCATAGTTTATGTCCACATTTGTAGGAAAGACATACTCTGTAGGCTAGGCCATTGGGGTAGGGATGTGTGTTTTGACGAACAGAAAAGTGGATTAAAACATGAAAATGTTAGAAAAGGTATCTGTGGGTAGTGGAATTACTGACATATTTTGCATTTTGTTATAATTTTCCAAAGGTGAATATGTAGTCTGGCTGGTGTGGCTTAGTGGTTGAGCGTTGACCCATGCACCAAGAGGTCACTGGTTCAATTCCCAGTCAGGGTACATGCCCAGGTTGTGGGTCTGATCCCCAGTGGGGAGCATGCGGGAGGCAGCTAGTTGATATTCTCTCTCATCAGTGTTTCTATCTCTTTCTCCTTCTCCCTTCCTCTCTCTCTAAAATCAATAAAGGAAAAAAATAAATAAAAAGAAAAAAACTTATTAAAAAAACAAACAAAAGTGAATGTATATTCATTAGGTAACAAAGAAAAACACATGGAGGATAAGCCCCAGTCCCTGTGTGGAGAAAAGAGCCCGTCTGCCTTGGGCCCTGGGCCGGGCTCCCCCATCTTCAGGAACATGCGCACTCCTCCTCCCTTCAGCTTCTCACCTGGCTGTCACCCGCACGGAGCAGAGCAGGCCTGTTCCTCAAGCAGGTGGCGGCCTCACTGGGTGTGGCCCTGCTCCCTGTCCTGAAGATGCTTTCTAGAACCATCCTTTCCTTTCCCAGGCATCAGCTGTTGGCATTCATGATGGAACTTAGTGGGAATGTATAGAACACACGCACACTCCAAGTGAAATCTTAGGGAAGACACCTGTGGAAAGCTAGTCAAAAGCTTTCCACTTGCAAATACACATGCTGATGTGGGGATTTAAGTTGCGGCTGCAGATTTAAGATGCTCCCCGTGTATGGTAAGAGGTGGAGAGCGTAAAGTGGGTGGGAAGGTTGTTCCTTCCCACCCGTCCTCCAAGCCACTGCTTCATTTTCCTTCTTCACTTCATTATGCACTTGATATTCTTTTAAATTACTTTTTAGTATATATGACACTTCCCTGCCAGCCGTTTCTAACCTGCACTTTAATCATTTATTTTAGTCTTAAGATCCTGGCACGTTTGATGACGGCTAAGTTCTTGCACACAGAGATCCGAGAGAAAGGTGGCGCTTACGGCGGAGGCGCCAAGCTCAGTCACAGTGGGATATTCACCTTCTACTCGTACAGGTGAGCTGTCCTCTGGCCGTCGTATGTGGACACCGCGTCGTATCACCGACAGGCATCTCTGTCACACCTCGTACGTCGGCGTGAATGTGAGAAAGTGTTCGCTGGCACTTAACCACACCCAGCACGGTCCTTTCCGTTTAGGGACAGCAGGAGAGAGCAGGAAACTGCCGTGAGTGACAAGCATATTTCAGCAGAGGGCGACCTGAGCTTTCCTGCTGATGTCATTGTGTTGCTGGGCTCCAGACTGCTTTTGCCCTTTTAATTTTCTGTGGCCCTCTGCCTGAAGACACATTTTCTAATATTCTAAGGACAGGACAAAGGCAGATTGCTTCTGCCTCTGAAGCATTTGTTTGCTCCTGACTGCTACAAATTCTGAACACTTTCTGGTGCCGGTGCTGGGAGCTGCAGGCCAAAAACACCGTCCGAGCCCACCCCGCACACCTGGCAGCCCACTCAGTGCTGTGTCTAGTGTGTGAACAAAGGCCTCGGCAGCTCTTTCCACTTACACAGTGGAGGCCTTCAAAACTGGCCCAGATACGGGTGCTTTTCAGCTATTCATAGTGCTGCCTTTGGAAGTAAGAGTTTTCATTTAACCTTTCTTAGCGTTTCTCCACGAGTCTTTTATTCAGTCTGCTTTTCTTCACAAGGAAGCCACAGTGGGTGCATAAAATAACCTCAGGGTGAGGCGGGGTGAACAGGGAGGGACTGGGTCAGATGGCCTCTGGGCCAGGTTTATATTTCAAGTACTGATTTTTGGACTGAGCATCAAAATGGAGCCATTAACAACTATAAAGTGTTGAAGCTGTGAAGTCAGCACGTGATCGTGGCTTATGTTTCCATTGTAAACATGTGAGTAGCTAACTCTTTGGGTCTCCCAGGGATCCACGTTCAACAGAAACATTCCAGTCTTTTGCGAAGGCCGTCGACTGGGCCAAGTCTGGGAAATTCTCACAGCAGGACATTGATGAGGCCAAGCTCTCCGTGTTCTCTGCGGTGGACGCTCCTGTGGCTCCTTCCGACAAAGGTATTTGGAGTAAAAAGCACCTTGATGAATGGTATGACCATCTCACCCCACCTCCCCTCTGTGATACACCGCTGTGCACCTTGAGAGGGAGCATCCATTATCCCAGAGCCTCAGTGAGCTGTACATGCCCTGGTCAGTGTGACGGGAGTGGGGCAGAGGCCGTCCTGACGTGCTCTTCCCTCTCCATCCTCTTCCCCCGAGGGCGCTGGGTCAGGGTCAGCCCCCGAAGCAGCCACCCATGCTGCTCCTGCCAGCTTCCCAGTCACCTGTGTTCCTTGCAGGGCTGGACCACTTCCTGTACGGCCTGTCAGATGAGCTGAAGCAGGCTCACAGGGAGCAGCTCTTCGCTGTCCACCGCGAAGGTCTCGTTGACGTGAGCAACAAGTGAGTGCAGCCCTGTGGTCAGAACTGTTCGGGGCCGTGACCCTGAGGGTGCCTGCCGAGGAACCGTCCTGACCCCCCACCCACTCCTGCCTTTCCAGGTACCTCGGTGTTGGGAGGAGCACTCACGGGCTGGCTCTGCTGGGACCAGAGAACACGAAAATCGCCAAGGACCCGTCCTGGATAATCAGATGACGAGTGGCTCCGGCTGTGCTCAGGGTCTGGCTGACAGGTCACAGACCCTGCAGGAGTGAGCTGAGCCAGATTTTACTGGAAAGGTTAGGAAAGTGGTGGTTTCCTGAATATCTCGATCATTTATCAGTCTTGAATTATTGCCAAAGGTACACCTGTCATGTCAGACCCAAAGTCTTAAAAGGGGAAATTGAAATAATCATGCGTTACATGCCGGAGGTGCACAATTATTGTAAGACTTTCTAGTAATGATAGAGATGCTTATTTTACTTATTAATCCTAGAACCTGTATTTAAATATTTAAAATAAAAGGCAACTCTGACCTACCTGTGTGTCAGTAATTTCAAATGATAGTTTGCCAAGTAGTTCTTTTACTAAAAAATGAATGAGTGAAATGGATAAAAGAACAAAGGTATTCCAGCATTTGCCTTGATCTATAAAAAAGGACGGTCACACCAAGGACCTGGGGAAGATTCTGAACGGATGCACCACCCAAAGTGCAGGGCAACCTGATGGGATCCCTTCTGAGAACTGGTGTGTTCAGGGCTAAGTAGCATGGATTTGTTCCTATTTTGTCTTTACTGAAGGGCTCTGTCTCATCTGTTCCGCACTTTACGTTTTTCAGACAGAAAGTACACTTCTTGGTGCTAGCCCTTCCTTCAGCACGTGACCCTCAGTCCTGCACACGGCCCGCAGAGCTCCTGCTGCGCGGCGGGCGCTGCGTGTTCATGGGGGTCTGGGGCCACCTGCAGCAAGCAGCTCGATCAGCACCATTTTCCAACAGCTCCGATGACCGTTAGCGTTTTTAAGCAACTCATTACTTTTTAGTTGTGGTTTGTACATTTAGATATACTGCTATCACACACTTAGTACACTACAGCATAGTGTAAACATAACTTTTATATGCGCTGAGAAACCCAGAATTTGTGTGACTTGTTTTATTGGGACCCTCGCTCTATTGTGGTGGTCTTCCCGTGTTTCTCATCATCTGCCGTCTATGCGCGACTCCCTCCCCCGTGGCTGGGGGACAGGCTGGTTCCTCCCAGACCGGAGAGAAGAGGCAGGAATGCATTTCACTCCAGACACTGTCACACGGCCCCCGTTCCTCAGCGCACAGTAGGACCCAGGTGTAGTGTGGGAGCGCACCTTGGTCTCAATGCGCACGTTCGTGGTGTTCTTAGTTCTACACGTCAGAAGGAGCCCTTGTGGCTGGAGGTGGGTCGCGTCCAGGTCTGGGGCCTCCCCGTGTGTCATGGTGCCACCCTGCTCCTCCACTATGCTCCCGTGCAGTCCAGTTGACTGATCCCTGTACAGTGTGTGGCTGGTGGCTGCCCACAGGTCTTGAGGTTTCAATGCCTACTTAAAAAATTTAAAGGAACTTAGTACTGTGGTTGAAGTTTTCACCAAATGTTTAATTCCGTGGACACGCACACGGGAAAGCAGGAGACAGTATGCGATACAGCGCCAGCTCGCTGCGGCTCGGGTCCAGTGGGGTGCGGTACGGGACGGGAGCTCTGAGTAGGGAGAAGCGCCAACAGTACTCACATAAAGTGCTGATAAATAACACGTGTTACCCAAGCGGGTGGTAAACAGGAAGTCCAAGGGCTCGCTGGCAGCAGCGGCCTCTAGATGGCTGCAGGCTCCTCTTGGTCATGTCGAATGTGTTCCAGCTGGGTCGAGTCAGAGAGCTCGAGGCTGGCCTTGTACTTGGCCAGGATCTTCATGAGGGGCCGGAGCTTCAGCCACCACTGCTCTTTGGGGATCCTGTGCCTGCGGACGGGAGGCAGCAGGGTGAGCACAGTGACAGCGGCGTCCCTCTGTCCTGCCCTCCATTCCTTCTAGCGGGTACGGTTTAGATGTGTGATGTTTTACTTACTCAAAGTCTGTCTCCTTCTTCAGCTCTGCCACAGGCCGGAAACAGAGTTTTCTTTTACATATTCCCAGCACACAGACAGAATCATCGTTTACAAATTTTTTTCCTGTAAAGGACAGAAAAATGACCTGAGAATGGATGCGTGATGAGGTGAAATGGCCGGAGGGAGCCGAGTCCTGTGGGAGAGGGAATAATTCAGACTCCAGGGCCCCCGGGGCCGTGCCAGGGTGGGCAGGGAGGGCCCCTGGAGGCCCCTCAGGACGAGGGGACGGCTGCTGCTTGTCTGCAGTGAGACCAGGGGAGGGAGGGCCTCACTGTACTGCACGAGGAGTGCTGGCTCGGCTGCAGAGCTCAGTGGCAGGCCAGTGAGAAAGTGCGCACGGCCACACCCTGCGCAGCCGGAAAGTAGTTACGCATCCTCAAATGACCTGTGGAAGAAGGAAATAAAGCCCAAACAAGACAAAATATAAAAGCAGAAGTTAATGTAGAAAATAAACAGGAAAAAATCAAAGCCAGTTCTTTGAAGACCAAAATTAGGTTGAAACTTGACATCGCTGTGTTTGTACAAGTCAAACACTAGAAATAAAATTAAGCACACAGATCTGATAAGATTAACCCAGAAAACTGAGGGGAGTGACATTCGGGTACTGCACGAGCACCCAAACCTGCAAAGAAGGGAGACAGAAATACTGCCAGCGTTAGAAAGAAAGGAGAGGATGAAAATTTTCGTGTCAAATTTTTTGAAAATTTAGATGAATTTGAAAATTTCCTGGAAAGCAGCAAACAGGAAAAAAGAACAACAAAAGAAACAAACGCGAGTCGTTCTGTCAACAGTAAAGAAGTACAGCCGAGTCAGCTCTCCCGATCCCCACAGAGAAAATGGCAGGGGGTATCGGGAGTTTATCAATATCCAAAAATCAAAACATCCTACAAATTATTTCTGAGGGGAAGCCCCTGCCCCCGACGTCTTAGAAAGTTAGTACAAGCCTGACCCAACACCTGACGGACAGGATGAGCTGGAAATGGCCGAAGACAAAAGCCGGACCAGTGAGTACAGAGAACACATCTGTTCCCCAAGGAAGACAAAGGGGCCTCAACACTACTTAAGCTCCTCCTTCAGTGCAGAAGGTATGTAAGGTCCTTTCCCGATTGACTCCAAGAGCAAGAGCAAAGAAAGACTTCAGTTAAATGTTACTTAGAATTCATAGTCACAGAGCATTGAAGACAGTCCCTGTTCATTATATTCACTGGGTCCAGACAGGAGGTCTGCCATCACTACATCCATTCAGGATGTCTCGGAGTAATATACACAAAAAGTTGAGGAAAAAATCAAAAGCTTGTTTGTACACAGATGATAATGTATGTGGATGTAAAATCCAAAAGAAAAGATGACTCTACAATTGTTAGAATTAAGAAGGTGCATAAAAAGTTGCTCACTGAAAATCAGCTTGGCAAGAGTTAATTGTATTTCTGTACACCAGCAGTAAGAAAAAATTGTACACCACTTACAATAATTCTTAAAGATCAAGGAGTCAGGAATAAACTTATACCAAAAAATATGCAAGATCTTTAAGTAAAATATTGCTTTTTAATAAGATAACAAAAGGTCTAAGTATATGGAAAGAGATTCAGTGTTCATGAATTAGAAATTTGATGTTTTAGAAATGTCAGTTTTCCCTCCAAATGATCTATTGATGAAATGTAATGCCCTCCTAAAAACCCAACAATCTGTAGTGGACTTGGATAGTCTGATTCTACTATTTCTCTGATGTCAGGAAAGGCCAAGAATTTCCAGACTGGAAGGCCCAGGTAGGATCTTCACTACCAGGTATTGGGAGTTGTTTGTAAAACTGGAATATTTCCAGAGATTGATCAAAAAAGGAACCAAATAGCCCTGGCCGGTTTGGCTCAGCGGTTAGAGCATCGGCCTGCGGTCTGGAGAGACCCGGGTTCGGTTCCCGCTAAGGGCATGTACCTCGGTTGCAGTTTGTCCCCGGCCCTGGTTGGTCGTGCGGGTGGCAGCCACTCGATGTGTCCCTTTCACATCGATGTTTCTCTCTCTCTGTTCCTCTCTCTCCCTCCCACTCTATCTGAACAAAAAGTGAAAAAAATTTCCCCAGGTGAGGATAAAAAAAATTTTAAAAAAGGAACCAAATAGCCAAGATAGTCCCATAAATCTATAGATTCCTATCTATGATGGAGATTATACGGCAGAGGAGAAAAAACAATGTTTTTGTCAATAAATGGCACCCAAATAATTGATTACCCACATGGAAGAACATGAAAGTAGACCTTTAAAAAGGGAGAACATTCTAGCAACAAAAAGCTCAAAACATAAAGGAAAAATAAATCTGCTACATTAAAATTAAGAGCACTTCATTAAAAGATGCTTTGTAAAAAGTGACCATCTGCACACAGAGGGTGACATCTGCAATGGGATAGACAGGATATAATACAACATCCTGTAACAAAATGTAAAAACATTCCTTTAAAGTAACTTTAAAGCCAAGAAAATATAAACAAAGCAAAATGTAAACATAACCAACCCTTAGAAAAACAGTCAAAATACTTGAAGAGTCTACAGAAGAAATGACGTTACATAAGCATGAAGACCCTGGACTTTAATTTTTTTTTCTTTATTGATTTTAGAGAGAGAGAAACATCGACGAGAGAGAACATCGATTGGCCCCCTCCTGCATGCCCCCCACTGGGGATTTGGCCCACAACCTGGGCATGTGTCCTGACTGGGAATCGAACTGGCGACCTCTGGGTGCATGGGTCGACGCTCAACCACTGAGCCACACCAGCCAGGCAACCCTGGCCTTTCAAAGCCATAGTGAGACTGAGGCCCACAGAGAACACATCTGTCCCCCAAGGAAGACAAAGTTCAACAGTGATGATCAGATCAAGTGTCACCCAGGCGGGTTAGGGCCTGGTCTGGAGAAGTAGCCCTCGGCCTGTGCATCCCTGCGACCCAGCATCCAGCCCCTGGGTGTGCACAGCTCAGGGCACTGAAGCACACTGCCTGTCACCCAGACACCCGGACACTCAAGGCTGGGTCATTTAGAGTCAGGGATGGTGATGTCAGTGGATGTGTATCAAAATGGGCACCTCTCAAAACCCAGATGACATCAACGACACCAGTCCCGGGAAATGCACACTGCTTCCATTCACATCAACCACAAAACCAAAGCTGGACTAAGTAACATCCTGGAAGGTTTAATCAGGTACTAAATTCTACAGAAAATGATGAGCGCAATTCCAAGGCTCTGCTTGGCGGGAGTGAAGTATGGAGAAGTACACACTTAGGTAGAAGGAGGAAATAGTCTAACCTCTGGTCCTTCTGTATAAAGAGGAGTCATGAATGAATCAATGAGTAAATCTTAAAGTATCTTAAGTAAAAGCCAGTCCAGCCCTGGCCAGTTTGGCTCAGCGGTTAGAGCGTCGGCCTGCGGTCCAGAGAGACCCGGGTTCGGTTCCCGCTAAGGGCATGTACCTCGGTTGCAGTTTGTCCCCGGCCCTGGTTGGTCGTGTGGGTGGCAGCCACTCGATGTGTCCCTTTCACATCAATGTTTCCCTCTCTCTCTCTTCCTCTCTCTCCTTCCCACTCTGTCTGTACAAAAAATGGAAAAATGTCCTCGGGTGAGGATAAAAAAAAAAAAAAAAAAAAAAAAAAAAAAAAGCCAGTCCAAAGTGTTCCACATGGCAAAGAAGCAAAACAAGGAAAGGGTACACTTTGGGGTCCTGCAGAGGAGCCCAGTGTGTGCACCGAGATTTTTCTGGTTATTCAGAAGAATGTCACTAGATCACTTGATGCCTCCCATCTCAAGCGAGGAGGAAAAAGCACTCTGTATTAATTCTGTTTGTACCTAACTATAATCTTGAACACCGTCAAGAACCACAGAGTCTGGTAAGAGTAAAATAAAACCGCTTTGTCGGGTGCGGCTCAAGGCTGGATTTCAGCAGCGGGAAACCAGCACCCACTCCCGGGAGCACAGACCCACCTCCCACAGGCCGCCCCCACGCGCCACTCGGTACCTCTTCCCTCCTTCAGCTTCATGGAGAGCCACTGCATGGCTCGGGCAGAGATTTTGGTCCCAAAGTTTCTGTCAAACGGAGAAGGCGCCCCACCCTGTTGGTGGTTAGAGTTAAGAGAAATGTTAGTTCTACAACAATACCTTCCTGTTGTTTTTTTTTTTAATGAAGTAGAAATAAAATTACTAAAATAACAAAATTCACATCAAATTTGTAAATATGGTCTTTGAGTGATTTTTTTTTTGCAACTTTTATTTCCTTGTTTCTATTTGGGATCAGATGAAAGAGGCCCGGTGACTGCTGCCGCTGGAGCTGAGCCTGTGAGGCACGCGTCCCGGTGCTCCTCACTCTTCCTTATTTTAGAATCTCCTGTCAGGATTCCTTAACCTTATTTTGGGATGGGAAAGGGGGGGGTCCCAGTTTCCTTTAAGAATTTGATCAGCCCTGGCCGGTTTGGCTCAGTGGTTAGAGTGTTGGCCTGCGGTCCAGAGAGACCCGGGTTCGGTTCCCGCTGAGGGCATGTACCTCGGTTGCAGTTTGTCCCCGGCCCTGGTTGGGTTGTGCGGGTGGCAACCACTCGATGTGTCCCTTTCACGTCGATGTTTCTCTCTCTCTCTCTCCCCCTCCCACTTTATCTGAACAAAATATAAAAAAAAAAAAAAGTCCTTGGGTGAAGATTAGAAAAAAAGAATCTGATCAACGGTGGGCTTGCTTTCACAAAATACACCTGCCTAGCATTTCATCACAGATTCAGGAGATTCGGGGACCCTCTGAAATGACAACAGGCCCAAGGTTAGAACTCCCTACAACACGGGTGGTAAGTGGCGATGGGACGAGAACAGGCATGTGGTCAGGAGGCTGGGGCCTATGACCCAACCCACCCCCCACTTGGTCATCTGGGGCACACTTACTTGGAGCGTGCCCCAAGGTTCTTTCCATCGTGTTCCGATTCCGTGCAAGTCTCAAATAAGTATCATTGGTTTGATATTTTGATTTGAATGCTTATTTTTGCCCAATATTGAATGAGATACTTAATTTGAATAAGTTTTTCTAATTAGCTGGTATCACAATATGCAAGTTGACCATGTCCTTGAAATGTCCACCTACCCAACTATCACAGCACAATTCCTAAAGCTGGTGATATCTGGTAGGACTTCTAACGGGAACTAGAACATAGTTCGTGAATACAAATTATTTTTCCCACAATGGCTAAAATATGACACCCATCTAAAAAGAAGTCCCATGAATAACAGCCTCCCTTCCTGTTTCTGGGGACCCGGGGGCCACAGGCGAGGGGGGGTGGGGCCCTACCTGCTGCATGTGGCCCAGCACATTCTTCCTGCAGTCAAACACGCCTTTGCCCTCCTCGGAGTAGAGCTGGTAGATGAAGTCGGTGGTGTAGTTTTCACTGCAGCTCTCGTTTCTGAAACATGGGAGCACAGGGCTCAGGGCAGCGTCTGCCCCGCGGGGCTGACAGACTGGCTCCTCTGGCCCCCTCAGTTCCAAGCCCTGGCGAGACTCCACACGTATTCTCTTTATAAATGCCATGGCTTAATTCAAGAAATGTCTTGGAGGTATATTTTTTTAAATGACAAAGCAAATATGAAATGTTTTAAATTACCCTTCATTGCCCGGCCAGTGTGTCTCAGTGGTTGAGCATCGACCCATGCACCAAGAGGTCGCCGGTTCGATTCCCGGTCAGGGCACATGCCCAGGTTGTGGGCCCGGTCCCCAGTGGGGGGCATGTAGGAGGCAGCCAATTGATGTTCTCTTATCGATGTTTCTCTCTCTCTCCCTCTCCCTTCCTCTCTTTCTCTAACATCAATAAAGAAAAAACATTTTCAAATTGCCCTTCAGTTATTTAAGCACACGCAGGTTTTTCGCACAAAGCAGTTACTCCGCTGCTCATCCTTCAGTGCTCAGTGAGGCTCCTGGCAGAGAAGCGATGGCTCACTGGGTTTCAGATCATGAGACGGGTTCCTTCTGAGAAGCCATGTCTTAGGTGAGAACTCGGGAGACCCTGTTACCTGAGCACGAGCCCCCTCTGAATGGTGGTCTTCATCTTCTCCGTCAGGTGCTCCACGTTGGACTAGGAGAGAGCGCTGTGTTAGTCACGCGGCCTCCCCGCACCCCCGGGGCCGGGCACTGCGATCCCAGGTGCCGCGCGCGCAGCAGCTGCTCTGCGTTATGTTTTGGTGGCGAGGACGACGGGAAATACAGCAGGTAGGGAGACAAGCCCCACCTTGAGGATGAGGATGACAAACACAGTCATGTTACTGGGTATGGAGTGAGTGGGGCTCAGCTTCCACGGGGAACGCTTTCCAAAAAAACAGGTAAGAAGCAATAGATAAATTTATATGCTTCAGACAAGGACACAGAATATATAAATTGTTTTAGGACTGAAACCTATTTTCATGACATTTTTTTACCTCAAAGGAAATACCTGCACCTCACTTTATATAGACTCTCCTATATACAATTACCTAATGAGCATTCAGGCCATGAGAAATTTTATACACTCAACTTTGTGCACAAATTCTCTATGAAAAAAAGAGGAAATAAACAAACAAAAAAGGTAGATGTTTACATACAAGCAAATCCCATTCGTAATTACATTTATTAAGCACCTACTATGTGCCCAGAGCGATGGCACGGGCCGGCAAGGCTCTGTTTTTAGGTAGGTATTTGAAGTGTAAGTAGTTAATTCAATATTGTAGAGTTCATAGGTCATGATAAAAATTCGCAAATAAGTAAAAACATCAAGTATCTCTGTACTTGATTTACTTCAGAAACAACAGAATCATAACTTTTACAAAGTTATGTTTCATTGTGTTTTTGTGCATTTCGGTTGTGTGTTTACTGGCTAATGCCTGTCCCTAACAGGCTGACCGCCAGTCCATGCCTGGGCTGAGCGACCCAACTAACCTGTGCTTGCCCAGCTAGCCCTCCACCTAGAAAGCTGGGGGGGAGGGGGCTGAGAACCCCTAATCGATTTAGAAGAATGGGCATCATGACGATTTAAAAGAAGCAGTGACAGCTGAGTGAACCCTAATGTCAGCCCTAAGGTGGACCGGGGGTGCTGATGGTGTCAGTGTGGGTCCATCGTCCCTAACAGCGGAGCCCCTCTGGCAGGGGTGCTGAGGGTGAGCAGGCTGTGCCTGTGTGAGGGCCGCGGGTTTATGGGAAATCTCTGCTGTGAACCTAAAGCTGCTCTTAAAAAAAGAAAACAAGGAAGCAAGCTGCAGAGAAGGGCAGGAGGTAAGTTTGGTTCCCTTGTTTATGGTTGGCGGTACCCACAAACTGCATTAAGCCCACTGCTGTGTCCCCAGCAGGTGTAGGGGACGTGGTGGGGGTGCCACACGTTCCCTCATTAAATCCCACATTCACAGTGGACAGAGCTGCTTGTCCTGGGCGGCCTCTGGGCTCCAGGGAGGGTGTTAACTGCCGCCAACCTCCCAGCTCGGACCACAGGGCACTGGACGCCTGGGGGAGCCGGAGTGCTCCCGGAAACACTGGCTGCCCTTGCTAACTGGCTGCTGGCCTGCCTAAGGAAATGGTAACTGCTCAGTGGGTGCAACAGGGTAGCAGACAGAATCCTAGAATCCTGGGTGAAGAGGAAAGGCGCCCCGAGCCAAGTGCTCACTCTGCCGCCATGCACAGAGCTCCAGCCCGTCGGTGCATCGGCGCCCGGCCTGGATTCAGGGCTGGGTTGTTGAAGTGCTGCGAACCGGGTCCATCACAGGACACCATCAAACAAATGACCGGGTTAGGCCGCAGCGCTGGAGGACTTTGCCGAGCACGCCCGGGTACCTGCAGGTCTCTGATGTCAAAGGGCTCCTCGAAGATGTAGGCGGCGTCGGCGCCAGCCGCCAGGGCCCCCATGTTAGCCAGGTAGCCGCAGTAGCCGCCCATGGTCTCGATGATGAACACGCGGCGCTTGGTCCCGCTGGCTGACTGCTTGATGCGGTCACACGTCTGGCCACAGAGAAAGACATGGGTCACTCCAGTGCGTGGCCGGCCAGTGCCAGGACAGGGGCAGGCAAGAGCCGGCGGTCCTGAGCGTGTGACCATGTTGTCACACCCAGGCACCCGCACAGGGGCAGAGACAGACGGCTGGCCTCGGCCCCACCTCCGTCACTGTGAAATTCTTTCTGGTTTTCTTCTAAAGGCTCCCCATGACCTTTGTGTTTGGTCACCCTCAACCTAACCCTGAATGTGGGCTCACATCAGGGCACCTCTACTGAGGTGAACGGCGGTGACTAGACCAAGGCCCCATGAATCTTCCACACACACACACACACACAGCGGGTCTGCTAAGGAAAGGCAGCCTCAGCCTCTGCAGGACACACAGAAGCCACACACCGCTGTCCAGGTCGTGTTCTGTCACGCCCACCAAGCCTCTAACCAGCTGTCTGTGAAACGCTGCGATGTGGTCTCTGCCTTGCTCAGCCCTGAGCAACAGCACCTTCTTTCTCGAGTACCTCAAAGCCCTTCTATGGACCCCTGGGCCTGCCCACTCCAGTGCTGTCCTGCTCCGAGACAGTGTACCCCAGTCTTCCCCAGGTCTTCCCCACGCACTGCCTTTGATGGGCTGGAGAGCGGCCCCCAGATGGAGGCCTGACCCAGGGACAGAGGCCAGGAGACAGGAGCAAGATGCTACCTGCAGGCCTTGCAAATGAGGAAGGGGCCAGGGGCCAAGCTCACAAGGCAGCTCTAGGCACCTGAAGAGCAAAACAGGGTCTCCCAGAGCCGACACAGGGCGCACTGCCTGCTGGCACCTTAACCTCAGCCCAGTGAGATCCACTGGGACGTCAGGCAGCAAGGGAACCAGTCCCAGCCCCTTCCTGCCTCAGCATCATGACCCAGACTGAAGTGTCATTTCCTCAGGAAAACCACCCACTGCGGGGGCTCCAGACACTCACAGCCTTTCTTCACGGAAACCACCACAGTCCACCTTCCTGCAACTTTGTGTCGTTATTTGATCTGGGTGCCTCCCTCCCTGGTCACAGGCTGGCTCCCAGGCAGCCATGCACGGAACACAGTTGGCACTCAATAAATATTTGGCACTGAAGGAAATAAAAGCATCCCGCCTGGCCGGTGAGGCTCAGGGGTTGAGCGTCGACCCATGCACTGCACCAAGAGTTCGCCAGTTCGATTCCCATCAGGGCACATGCCCAGGTTGGGGGCCAAATCCCCAGTGGGGGGCACGCAGGAGGCAACCAATCGATGTTCTCTCTCATCGATGTTTCCATCTCTCTCTCTCTTTCTAACATCAATAAAAAGAAAACTATTTAAAAAAAAATTTTTTTTTAAGCATCCTGCCCATCCATCAGCCAGTCAAGACCATGGACTAAATAATTCTGCGTCTAAAGTGGAATCACGCGGGGATGGGGAGTGGTGGGCCTGGGACCAGGGTCACAGGTCTTTCTGTGGGGCAAGAAAAGATTTGTCCACAAAAGTGTAATATCGATGCAGACATTCTCACTTGCGGACTTTGGGATCCTGTAATTCTGATTTCCACACAGGCGCTGACTGTATGACTCCTAACCAGGCTGTCAGTCTCTTAGATGGCGCCGCACCTACCCCTAAGAATCCGGTGGATTTATTCCAAATTCAGCACGTGCTTTAGTTGGTGGGCTGCTTTACAATCTCTAGGAGCTGAGATAAGATGAGGAAATGGGCACCAAGGAGGGCAATGCCTGTCCTCCTCCTTGTGACGCCGGTGGGGGATGGAACTAGATGGACACCTGAAGATCCAGCTGCTGCAGGACCTGCTGTGGACTCCGAGGGTGCTCCTGGTGGTCTCTGCAGTGGGTCCCCAACGCGGCATTCTAGCACCTACACTGCCCTGATGACCTGTCGTCGGGGGGGCGGGGTGAACAGGGCTGCCATGTGGGTGGGATGCCCAGGTCCCACAGCGCAGAATCACGCTGTCCTCCCCAGCAGGCCTCCTGAGGCACAGACTATTGTCACCCATGCGGAGAACAGCGTTGTAACCATGGAGTGGCAGAAGCTCATGACCACAGAGCAGCTCTCCCGTGAGGCCAGTATGAATGCTCACGACTCAGCACCAACCCTGCAAAGGTCAGGAGCCCCAGTGACCCCAACCACGATCCAAGGCCAGTTCTCTTTAAGCCACTGGGTGTCAGAGCAGTGATGGCTGGCTGGCACCTTCAGCCTTTACTTGCAGCTTAGATGCGCCACCGTTCCTAACTTCTCCCTCTGCTTCACCCTGGTTGTGTCTGAGGGTCCAAATTCCTCTCTCCTAAAAACAGTTCGTTACATCAGCCCGTCTCATTCAGTTACTAAAAGCAGCACTGACAAGTGAGGCTGCAGATAGGCACCTGCCCCGAGCTGGTGGCACCTGGTGGGGAGGGGCTCTGACTTTGGGTGAGAGGAAGGAATCAAGGGGCACAGACGCCCCTGCCTGGTGCAGACGCCTCGCCAGCCTCGCCGGCCATGTTCACCGTGGGGATGTCCCCTCCCGAGAACACTGCCACCCTCCAGTGGCCGACAGACGATTCCCAGAGAAAAATCTTTGGGTGTTAACTCACTGGAGGAAAAACTTCAAATGGCAGTTCCAATGCTGCTAACTTTTTGCCACACTGGACTTTTAAAACTATAAGTCAAATGTGGAAAGATAAAATGGCGCTTGGAATGATGCGAACACGGAAAGCAGCCAGTGGACTTGTGGGAACTCGGTCGACCCTGTCCCATTAGCAGGCTAGGAGATCAGCCTCCCATGACTCGGGTTCCTAGGAGAAGTGTGGGCTGAACATGGGGCGCTGGACCAGGCTGGCCAGGGCCAGGAGCGGAGCCCCCTGCCAAGCACAGACCAATGGTGAAGCTGGGGTGACGAGCCAGGTGCAGGCCGAGGCAGTGGGGTGAGCATTGGGGAGATGCTGTGCCCACAGAGGCATGAAGGGGGACACCTAGTGCCGGTGGCTGCCTGGAGGGTCCATGGCCGAATTTTACCTGCAGAGAAGCTGGAGGTGAACTGCAGGGCCCAAGGACACCTCGACATGGGGATGAGGCCATAGCCCTGCTGGGAGGCTGAGAGCAAGCCCACCCCCTGCCAGCAGCTTCAGTGAGAAATAAACAAGAAGCTCAGATGTGCCCATCAGCTGAAGAGTGAGAAACTAGCCCGCAGGACTAGCGACAGCCCTTCCTGTCCTCTCCCTGCATCCTCATTCAATCTCAGACAGTGGGCCCGGACCGAAACGGCAGACCACGGAGGGACTGTGCGGCTCGATGGGGGACTGCAGCAGAGTCGGGGCTTTCACAAGACATGACTGTTTAGAGGAAGCATCACCGCTGCCAGGGGGTCACTCTCACGGCCCCCTGCCCTGCCACCTTCCATTCCCTGTTGGGGGAGGGCCACGCCCCACAGCAGAGGCCTCATGTCCACTCACCGACCACATAGATCTGACAACCAGAGCCCGGCAGAGTGGATACCAGGCGGGTTGGAGGCGCAGGGAGAGGCATCGGTCCCATTAGGAAGAGGGACACCCGCCCAGGGCCTACCAGGTCCCTTCCTCCCGGGGAGCACTGCTGTAGCTCCCTTGGCTCTGCGGCTTCACGAGGAGGATGCCTCCTGCTCTTCTGGAACTCTCTCACCAGCACCTCACCCCGCCACACGCCCTCCTGGCTTGCTCTGGGATCCCGACATGCATCTGGCCATCACCTGGGCACCAGCAAAGCCCTGCGGACTCCCCGCTCCTTGTGCAGGTGGACAGAGTCAATGTCCCCCAGAGCACTGACGGAGACAAAGGTGGGCTCTGCCTAGGACGGAGAAGCTGGGAAAAACTACCCTGTCCTGGAAAGTGTGACACAATCTCGGGGAAAAAAGGAACAATAAAGGTGGCTCAGTCTTTCTGGAAAACTGGCCAGGTTTCCCCTTCCAGTTTCCACTTGAGGGGAAGAGAAAGCCCCGCCCAGTTCATCCCGGCTGGCGGTGCTCCTGAGGCAGGAAAGACTTGGGGAAGCGACACAGGGGACGTCCTCACCTCTACAAGTGCATTCGGCCAGGGTCAGAGCCTGTGCTCAGCTCTGTGCCAGGGACATTGCGAATGGTGACAGGCAGGATGTAAAGCTCCTGGTGGCTGCCACGCACCTGGGCGAACATGAGTGAGCTCCGGAACGCCTGAAGCAGCAGGGCGAGTGGTCAGCGGGCGTCTGGCACCTCCCCTGCCATCAGCAGGTGGGCCGAGCTCCCCCATGCATGTCAGTGGGGAGAGAACGCTGCGGGCTAGCTCTGTGCAGGGGCAGGGTGAGCTGATGGCGCCTGAGTGGAGGCCTCAGCGTGGGCACCACCAGTGCAGGGGTGAGGGATGCGGGCCTCAGCACCAATGTGCACCCTGCTGCAGGAACGTCATGTAGGAGGCAGGCGGGGACCCTCCCGTAAGGATGGTGCCCCCTGCTGTCCCATGGTTCTCTGAAAATGAGTCAGGTTCAAGGGCACCTGTGGCCTGAGAGTGTGTGGATGGTGGACCTGTGGCGGGTTAGTCCAGGAAGCCAGGAGGAAGGTGAAGAGGGGGCCCCTCTCCTCATCTGACAGCACCCACTTCATCCCACCCATGTCCTGCCTCAGGGTCTGAGTGGAGACAGGACAATGTCACAAAGTGACCCTGTGGACTCCAAGAAAAGATGGATTTATAGGGAAAGAACCTCTTCAATCACTCTTCCGGGCCATCAGTGATCCTGGCTGCCTTCGCAGCCTTCACGCTGCACAGAGCTCAGCATGCACTGCATTCTGACTGCGCAGTGTCTGGCCCTGGGACGTGGACGGCACCCATCAGAAAACCCGAGGCCATAGCACGGGAACTCCACAGGCCTGTTCCGCCTGGTCAGACGCCACCTTTCTGATGCGGTAAGCGTACTGAGACCTGCTTCCCGCCATGCACCTGTGAGCTGAGCCAGGTGCTGGTGAGAACGAATGAGTGTGAGGACATGACCAAACATGCAAAGACATAACTGCTGATAACCTGAGACAGTCACAGTGTTTCTCACCCTCAGCACCTTTCACATTTGAAGCCCAAAGCTCCTCATTTGGGGGGTGTCTTTACATCATGGGCGCTCCACCCACCAGAAGCCAGAGGTACCCCCTTGACCAGTTCAGAGGACCAAAAATGTCCCTAGACATTGCAGATGTCCCCTGAGGGCAAAATCGCCACCAGGTGGGAACTACCAGCTCTCTGATCAGAAGTAGCTGCCGGTACTGGAGAGGCCCCAAGTCTGCACCTTGAGTATTTCCAGGGCTGAGCAGGTGGCACTACTATCATCAGGACACAGGCTCCTAGTGAGGTGGATGAACTGATGCTACTACATCCACTCTGGCCTTGGGTCCCCAAGTGCTTTCTGGATCCTCCAAACAGATCAGGAGGGACACAGAGCACCACTTCCCATTGGCTCAGGCCCCTGCCTCCAGCAGGTCCCCTTTCCTTTTCATGGCCAGGCCAGCCCAGTTCCAACCTGAATCCAAACCTCCTGAGTAGGATTCAACATCATGTTGGCTTTAACAAACAGAACTCTGGAAGAAACAGTTTCTACACGCTGTGCCCATACCTCGGTTCCCGCAGCCTCAGAATACACTGAGCGGGCCCACAAGGGGCTCGTCCTGACTGCCCACCATCCTGGATCACTAACCAGAACCATGGCACCATCATGACTACCTGGCCCATCACCAATGGAAAACCACCAACACCCTGACTGGTTACCCCAGCTTTGAGAAACCCAATGAATACAGTACCGAATGTAAAAGGCCACATCATAGCCCTGGCTGATGTGGCTCGGTTGGTTGAGCGTCGACCCGTGCACCAAAAGGTTGCAGATTCGATTCCTGGGCAGGGCACATGCCCGGGATGCTGGCTCCATCCCCAGTAGGGGGTGTGCAGGAGGCAGCTGATGGATGTTTCTCATATCAATGTTTCTCTCTCTCTCCCTCCCCTCTCCCTCTTCCTCCCTTTCTCTCTAAAAATCAAAAACAAAATTTCAAAAATAAATAAATAAAAGACCACAAAATAAACCTTGAAGATCCCTCTAAGGGAAGCAGGATGGGCAATTTGAAGTGTTTTCCTTGTAAATTTTTGTTTCCAAATGATCTGGGAAAAAAAAAATTTCTTTGTAGCAGAGGAGCCTGACATCACAAAGCAAGAGAGCCCTGTCTTCCTGCCTGAAAGTTTGTATCAAATACCACCAGCAATGAGCCAGCCTTGACAGGACCTGCAGATGACGCCTTTCAAACCCTCCCCGACCAGGGTTCAGATTAGTAACAGTGAGAAAAGGTAACACAGGCTCAGGTAATCAGATTCAAACTCTGCCCGAGGCAGGGGAAAGCGATGCAAGCAAAGGGGAAGATCAGTGGAGACTGAACCTTGTAGTCCCAGCCGGAAGGTCCGCAGGGAGGAGCAGTCCGGAGCAGGGAAAGCAGGGCTGACGGTCACAGCAGGAGCAGGGCCAGCAAGCGGCTAGGGGTGCACACGGGACAGACCTCCAGCGCGGGGACACGGCGACACAGGGCAGGGCTTTTTAGTGAAAAGATCGCAGAAAGTTTAGGAAGCTCTCAGAAAAGCAACAAACAAGCAGTAAGCATTACCACTGAGTTTTATTTTAAAAGCACGTCTTTTTATCTACCAGCACTAGAAACAGAACTGATGCCGTGGGTTTAAGGAAAAAATAGCTTAGAAAATCATTCACAAAATCTAGGTCTCAGAAGGAAAATACGACTTCAAATTTACTGAAAAAAATGTTGGCACTGAATTTTTTAAAAAATGCATTCCATGTCAGATACTGATTTTCAAACTCCCACGCGATTTCCCAAGTATGGCTTGCAAATATGATATTAAGGACATATTGCTATGCTAGTGCTATTCAGCCAAGAAACAAAAAATAACAACAAAAAACACCTTAAATAACACTGATATTGTATAGATGTAATTCAACATCCCCAATCTACAATGGGGAGAATGATACTGATGGGCTCAGACAAAAGAATAATGAACACTACAGGTGGATTCGGGTCTAATAAAATTATAAAATATTTCGCTCAGGTTCTGGCCTCAACCGTCAAAGCAGGGCCCCGGGACGCAGGAGTCACCGCAGGGGGTACCAGAGGCTAGGAGTAAATTGCGCTCAGCCAAAACACCCCACAAAACTAATTTTGACAATGATCCAAATCACAAAGCACTGTGAGCCCCAGGACCCGAGCTGCTGGTGCTCACGGTCACTTAGGGAAGTGGCACCCCGGCCCCAGCACAGGAGAAAAGTGGGGCGAATCGCTGGGAGCTGGATCAGAGATGGTCAGGCATTTTTTAAGTACTTTTCTGGAAACAATAACCCAGACCTGGCTCGCGTCTCAAGTGCACCGGTAGATAAAAAAACAAACAAACAAACAAAAAGGGCCAGGTTCCCCCAGTTAGGGTCCGCAGCACCTGCTCTGCTGCCACAGACTTACGTCAGTGATGGTGTTCAGGGCGGTGTCGGCACCAATGCTGAAATCGGACCCCGGCACGTTGTTGGACACGGTGGCTGGAACCATAACCATGGGGACACGGAACTCCTCGTGTTGCTCCCGGGCGGCTGACAGCTCCAGCAGTCCCAGGTAGGCCTGTGGGACAAGTGTGCACAGTCGGGGGGAGCGGGAGGGGGAGGCAGAGCAGGGGCACCAATAGGACCCCTAGAAAGTCAACATGGAAACGCAGTGAGGTCGCAACAGGGCCAACCAGTCCGTTAAGCACAAAGGCGCTCTTGGGACATCGTCACATAGACACAAGACTAAGTCTCTATTGGCAAGTGAGTCGTTGAGACTTGCATTTTCTTGAAGGGAAACCATAAGGTTATCAGGGACTGATCTTGGTTGAATAGAAAAAGAATTAAGACTTACAGTCCAATATGGGATAAAAAAAAAAAAAATGATTTGGCCACGTAACTCCCTTTCTCTCTGCATAGCCAGTGGACTGCAAATTCAAGAGAGAGAATCACTCCCGTCAACTTGAAAGACACCAGAACTCACTAGACAGATGGGCCCCAGTCGAGTCAGGTGTCACCTCCCACTGGGCGGGTCTCACCATCTGCTATGCTCTGCATCACAGCTGTCCAGTGGCAGTTGGGCCTGGGGCTCCATGACCCCAGTTCGTGAGGAGCTTGGTGGCACCAGCACAGCCCACCATTCAAGCCCACGGCATGGAAGAGCCAACCGGTGGACAGGGACGTGACGTACCTCAAACCCACCGATCATCAGCAGTGCGTTGATGTTATGGGCGCACATCTGTGCGGCAATCTCCTCCAACTGCTTCCCAGGGAGGAGCCTAAAAATAGTGCAAGAGAGATGAGGCCAGACAAAGTGGACAAATCACCCGCCAGCACCCTGACAGCCGCCTTGCCGCATCTCCATGGCGGAGCTGGGTGGCCCTGAGCAGTGGCTGGTGGCTGGTGGGCAGCAGCGCAGGGGAACCACCCACGGCAGGAGCGGCCAGGGATCAAGTCCCTAGAGTGTATTTTCAAAAGAAAACAGGGAGAAGCTTTACAGCAATAGCTTCACCTCAAAAGAATTCTGTAGCCTTGTTAGAAAAAAAAAAAAAAGAATCATAATAACTTGCAAATATTCACAGCAAATATAATTGAAATGCAAACTTCTTCCAGTTTTATACTTTATCCGACCTAATCTCTTTTAAAGTCACACCCACTTATATTTGCTATTCTCCTGTTTTATCGCCTGTTTCAAACACAGCCAACAAGTGGAAGTCAGACAAATGATAGTTGTCCCCATCCCAAGAGCCCACCCAACACCCATCTAACTGTCCTGTCGTGCGGACTGGAGGAAACCGTGTTTGCACCGTCAGCAGACTCATGGGAAGCCTGCGGGCGAACATCAGGCCGAGGCAGTCAGGGCACACGGTAGGTGTGACGTCGGCAAGGTTCCTCCCAGGGTCTAAAGCTCTTGGAGCATCGTCAGGAGGTGCTGCCAGCTAGCTCCCCCAGAGCCTTGCCGGGATGGCGCACAAAGCAAAGGGCGCCCGCAGTGTCCCCGACAGGTGGCAGAGTCAGGTGCCGCTGCTTCTACACAGGGCGTTGGGGCCAACATTGCGGGCACTTGGGGGGACTGGACAGAGAGCCACTGGGGAGGACCAGCCTTGCAGATGACCCCAGCAGCTGGGGGACACAAACGCCCTGGTTTCAAAGCAAAATGGAGGGTGGGACAGATTCCATGGGACACTCATATGGGATCCAACATTTGGGACAAAACGGTATGTAGACCTACAAATTATTTTCCTTCCATATAAAATGTGATATACAGTAACAGCTGATGTTACCTTGCACCCCCGAGACTGAAGATGAAAAGACTGACTTAATGTGAAAGCATGGTGCCTGGTTAAATACACATTCTACCCCCAGCTCTGTTGTGATTCCTCCGGAGGTGGGAACTGGCCTCCAGCTCTCGTGTCACGCAGGTCTGTTCCCACAGACACCGGGCGGCTCTCAGCCATGCTCCAGCTCCAGTTTACATGTAAGGTCACTGCAGCTCAGTGATGTTATTGTCACCACCTCAAATGAGGTGGAGGCTTTCTGCCCACCATCTGCTTCCTCAAACCCATGGACAGAAGAGATTTGGGGTGGAAACAGACCCTTTTCAAGCGCACTTCTCAGCCTCAGCTCCTAACGTAACCCGAGCCCTCCTGGGGTGGGGCCAGGATGTGGACGAGGGTCACCCTCCTTTGGGACCCCTTGGCAGCATGTGCACCAGCTACTCCTCCAGAATATGGCTTTTCCTTGCTCCTAACAGCAGGTCAGAATCAGGGAGGGAAATTACCGTTTTGTCCCAAGAATGGAGCCTCCTTGTCCGGTCCAGCCTCCGACATCCGACCAGCCGATTTCTTTGATCTAAGGTGCAAACAGAGAGTGAGACGGCCCAAGTGAGAAAGTAAGGAGTTTAGAAGTGTTATAACCAGCCTCAGAGCTCGGCACCTCCAGCGAGCTGCCTGTCTGTAGAATCTGTGGCATATTAGGGGATGGTTTCCACCACAATGTTGAACGAGCCAAGGTGGATGCTAAGGTCCAGCCCTCAGTGATGGCAGCCCTCTGCCTAACACCCCTGCATGTCAGTCCTGGCCCACGGCAAAAACGAACACTGTAGTTGGCCAAATTTGACCACTGGGAATTTTAAAAAAAATTAATATTGGAGTTTTTTTTTTAATTGACATAAGATTAAAAGAAAACTTAATTAAAAATTGTGCACCCTCCTGTCAACACACCTCAGTCTCTCGGGCTAGGTCTCCCCTCGCTCCTCTTAGCGCTAAGCCCTTTTCTCCACACCCTTGGGGACCACTCCATGTCGTGATTTTAAACACCACCTGTGTTCTGATGCCCTCCAAACACACATCCTCAGCCCACGCCTCTTGAGGGCCTGGAACATGATCTCTATCTGCTCACTACACTTCCCCCAGGATGCCCACCAGGAACCCCGCTTAGCATCTAGGAATCTCAGGGCTTCTCACATGTCCTCTCATCCATCAGCTGCAACAGGCCAGACACAGATGCATTCTCACTTCTTTCACGCCTGTGCATATTCAGTGACCACATTCTATTGGTTCTGCCTTCAATATCCATCCAAGACCCTAGAAGACGTCTCAGCGACTCCACTGCTGCCCACTGGACCAAGCCCCCCATACCTCCTGCCTGGGTGGCTGTGGAAGTCCCCCAACTCGTCTCCTGCTTCCCACTCCAGCCCCTTACAACCTGCAGGTGCCAGGCCCCTGCTCAAGACCTGTCTTCTCAGAATGAAAGCCGAGATCCTTACAGCTCCTACAAAGGACCTGGCCCTGTCTCCTTCCTCCCCCACCCCGCTCTCCTGCTGCAGTCACGCCAGCCCCCCCAGCCTCCAGCTCTGCACACCGCAGGCCTGTGCACTGTTCTGTCTCCTGGTTCAGCACCTCGCTCAGCCCTTCGACCTTCAGTCCCAGATCACCTCCCAGCAGCATCTGCCTTTAGCGTCTTAGTGCAGACCCCCACCCCCATCCCAGGGCTCACGTGGCCCCCTCCACATGTGTCTTTCTAGCACTAGTCACTTCCTCATATGCTGTACAGTTATTCAGTCTATTTTCATTTATCCTCATCTCCCTCCCTAAGATGACAGCTCCATGGAGACAGTAGTCTTGTCTGTGTTCTTCACCAACGTGATTCCACAGCGTGAGAACTCAGTCAACAGCTGCTGAGGAACCAGGTGAACTAACACTGTGGACCAGGATGCACAGGCGGAGCATGTAGGACTCGCAGCCTCGCGGTTGTGTTTCTATCCTGCATCGTGCAACTGTGGTCAAGTTCACTCCCTGTGTCCGGTTTTCTCATAAGGAAAATGGGGATAATAGCTCAGATTTATTGTGATATTTAAACAGGTAAACACACGTCAATCTCATAGGAGTAGCAAGACCCTTCCTTAGGATAGGATCCTAAAGCAGAAGTTGTCCTTAAAAGGCAATTGCTGTGCCCTGGCCAGTGTGGCTCCGTTATTGAGCATCATTTAAAAATCAGTTGCTGTGTTTCTAATGAAGCCTGAACTCCTCTATTTCCCCATGACTTTCCCATCCAAGACATCCCTTCACTGGGCACCTCCTGAGGGACCCACCTGGCCTTTGGCAAAGCCCTCGAAGCCATCATAGATCGCAAACATCTTATGTCCTTCTGAGATGCCGAACCGCACAGACGAGCGCACGGCCGCGTTCATCCCGGCAGCCGGCGCGCCCACATTGATCACGGCCACGTTGAAGCCAGTCTGCAAGACAGGGTGTGTGTGGCACTTGTCACAGGTGTGTCACTGCTCCATGAACACCTGGGAGGTGGCCCGGCCCACCACCAGGTGCCAGTAGTCCATGGCCAAGAGCAAAGTCTACAACATTGTCCAGGGCAGGAAGGCAGCTGAGGGACAGGGTCAGTGGGGACCATCAGGAGAAACACCTCTGGGAGCCAACATGCAGTGTCATCACCTACCTTTTCAATTTGGGAGTCGGGCAACTTGATGGCAAGCTGCTTGTAGATGTTGAGGTTGCCCTCGAAGCTCCTAGAAGAAAATGATACCGTTGGACCAGACTCAGAACATGTAGGGGAAGCCCGGCACAGAACAGCGGTGATGGGAGCAGACAGTCTGCAAATGCGGCTCTGTCCCTCAGGGGTTCCACCGTGTCCTGCTGCCCTTGAGGGGACATAGGCATGTAGGACACGTGTCGTGTAACTGGGCTAAGGGACAAAGGCGTCCAGTACTTTTCTGGTTTCTTTGCCAACACGCAGCTCACTTGTTACTTCCTATCTTAATCTTACTACATTCTCATGACCCCTGCTCAAAATAAACCTGAAAATAAAGCATTCCCCCAATTAGTCATCCAGGCCCTCAGCCTGCAGAAACGGCGCCTGCCTGCTGCCTTTGTCCTGACTTCTCGTGAGCCCGGACACGCACCACCTCACGGGCCTTCTGAAGGCCAGGCCGGCGAGCACTCATTCCCACACAGTCTCCTTCAGGATAGTCACCTTCCTCGGAGCTGCACAGCGTCCTTGAACCTCCTCTCATCCATCGCCTTTTGGACGCCCTGGGTCTTTAAAGAGATGACAAGAGGAGAAAGCAGGGTCAGGGCTAGTGCACCCCCACACCCAGCGCGGTGCTGCCACCCCATCCCCCTCACGTGCCGGCTTCGCAGGCCAGCAGCCTGGTCAGCCGTGCACACTGGGCTGCAGCCAGCCTGTCACCACCCAGCTCTGAGGGAGCCACCTGGGGCCACTGGTCAGGCCACTTCACAGAAAAGGATGAGGTGGCCCTGCCCGCCACGCCAGGGCAGCAGGTCCTGAGGTCTCAGGGAGTTTGCTCCATGAGAGCAGAGCCAGAAGGAAATGCACCTCTCAGACTGGGTTCTGACAAACACCCAGCTGAATTCTGGGGAGAAAAAAGCAAACAAGCCCTGGCCTGTTTGGCTCAGTGGTTGGAGCATCGGCCTGCGCACTAGAGAGTCCCGGGTTCGATTCCCGCTAGGGGCACGTATTTATTAAATAAATAAAATTAAAAATTAAAAAAAAAAAAAAAAGAAAGAAAAAGCAAACAAGACCATCCGCCCTGGGAGCTGGGGGACCCAGATGGGATCTCTACAGGCAGAGGGAGGGTTTAGAAACAACACACCCAACTGGGACCTGGCCTCTGCCCCTTCAACCTGAGGATCTCAGGCAAGTTATTCAGTTTCCTCATCTGTACAGTGAGGAGAACACCCCCTACCTCTAATGTTGTCTGTGGTTATAAAACATGCCAGACTCGCCCTGGCCAGTGTGGCTCAGTTGGTTGGAGCATTGTCCTGTATACCAAAAGGTGGCAGGTTTGATCCCTGGTCAGACCAGGGTACATGCGGGAGGCAACTGATCAATGTTTCTCTCTCACATTGATCACTCTCTCTCTCTTCCTCCCCCAAAAAGCAATTTAAAAAAATCATTTTGTAAAACACTCCAGCGTCTTAGGAAAACATCTGGCAAATAGCAAGTGCCAATGAAGGCTCACCCTGGCTAGTTTGCCGTAACGTATTGTCGGTTAGAAGACAAGCCAGACTGTTCCTACATGCCTGTCTCTGAAGAAACAGACACCAGCCATAAGAAATAGACTCAAGCCCTGGCCGGTTTGGCTCAGCAGTTAGAGCGTCAGACTGCGGACCGGAGAGTCCCGGGTTCAGTTCCGCTAAGGGCATGTACCTTGGTTGTGGTTTGTCCCTGGCCCTCGTTGGGGTCATGTGGGAGGCAGCCACTCAATGTGTCTCTCTCACATTGATGTCTCTCTCTCTCTTCCTCCCTCTCTCCCTACCACTCTATCTGAAGATAAATGCAAAATGTCCTTGGATGAGGATAAAAAAAAAAGACTCAAAACAGACTATACATAGTTCAACGTCCTGATCCTCTTAAGCCTGTCCTTTCACTCTCACATACATGCATGCATACACACACATGTACACACATGAACACACACAAACACATACAAGCACACACACTTAAGACAAAAAACTCATGCACATGGACACATGCACACCCAAACATATACAGACACACATTCACTTAAACAGAAAAGACACACACACACACACACACACAGATGCTTAATTCCCTTCCATAGGCTTTGAAGTGATGTATTTAAGGTAATTTCCAGCAAGCCCCATGACTTAGTACTTAATTGCCTCTCTGTATATGTCACCAAATGCATGTACTTCAGAGCCACTGGAAAAGACCAAGTAGGACGGCAGTCATGAACAGACTTTGAGAAACAAAATATAAGAACAATTTCTAATGCAACTCACTGCCGCCTCCCCAGTGGACACTGAGGTGGAAAGTTACGACCTGGGGCCTGGAGGAATGTCCCCTGCATTAGCCATGCGTGTCACACCACAGACTGAATGTCCTTGGGGACAGGATGAAAGGAGTGTCTGAAATCTGAGAGGCCAAGGATGCCCTGTGCAGCCCGCCCCACAGATTCCTCAAAGCCCTTTTCCTGTATTTTGTCTTCAGCTTCTGAAAGAAACCCTCATGGATCCTCCCAGCACAATCCTTCCTGACAGTATAACCCCCGAAAAACGAGTCCAGTTTAAATGAATTGAGACAGGGAATCAGTCCCCGTGATACAGAGCCTGCTGCCACGCCCACAGGGCAGCTCTGTCGGTCCTGATTAAGGTCATTTAACTCCCTGTGCAGCTCCTCAGCAAGGACAAAGGGACAGAGGTGCCTGCCGGTGCCTGCGGCCCTCCCCCAGCTCACCATCTGCACGCACTCCATCAGCGGCACGCGCACAGCCTGGTTCCCACTCAGAGACACCACGCAGGCTGGGGTCTTTGGAGTGGCCTGCAGAAGGGCGACGACAGCCTCCACCCCCAAGCGGCTGGCCTGCGGAAGACATTCACGGGTCAGAGAAGCCCACCACCTGGCCGAGGCAGTGGTCTCACCAGAGGCAGTGGTCTCGGTACCCCCAGGCAGATGCACCCATGGCCCGTCCCTTGTTCAGATGGCCCCACTGGGCCCGAAACACACCCATCATCAACTTCCCTTCTGTTCCCTGGAACTGAGTCCCAGTTAGGTACCAAAGTCCTTCCTGCTTAACCTACTTCCAACAAAGAGATTTAGTGTCCACTATGAACTGGCAAGAGGGCAGGGGAGGGGAGCGCAGGGGAGGGGAGGGCAGAGGAAGGGAGGGGAGGGCAGGGGAAGGGAGGGGAGGGCAGGGGAAGGGAGGGGAGGGCAGGGGAAGGGAGGGGAGGGCAGGGGAAGTAAGGGCAGGGGAGGGGAGGGGAGGGGAGGGGAGGGAAGAGGAGGGCAGGGGAGGGGAGGGCAGGGGAAGTAAGGGCAGGGGAGGGGAGGGCAGGGGAGGGGAGTGCAGGGGAGGGGAGGGGAGGGAAGAGGAGGGCAGGGGAGGGGAGGGGAGGGCAGGGGAAGTAAGGGCAGGGAAGGGGAGGGCAGGGGAGGGGAGGGCAGGGCAGGGGAGGGTAGAGGAGGGAAGGGCAAGGTCTATGGTGGGAAGAGCTGGGAAGATTAGCAGCCCTGGATGGATCTGGATTCTGGCCCTGCTGCCCCGGCTCTGTTTCTAGAAAGCTGCATGTGCATGCCACCTTCCCACATTCTGGGTTTGGTCCTGGGATCCTCAACTGTCCATGTGGGGTGGGGTCTCCTAGCTCCTGGGTGACTGGGGCTGCGAACCGCTCTAGTCTGAGTCTCCCGGCGACCGCCAGGGCAGGAGCATCTCGGAGGCGGACGCCCAGCTGCAGGCAGACACGTTTGCAGGACACGCTCCAGAACAGCTCTCAGTCTTGGAAGCAAGTGCTTCCTTTGTGCTCCTAGGAAGGCTCCTTTTCTTGTGAATTTCCCGGACAGTCTCCACCCTCACTTACCAAAATTCTGTCAAAGGCTGACGGCGTGCCGCCTCTCTGCACGTGCCCAAGTATGGTCACTCGAGTGTCGTAGCCCAGCTGCTGCACCACCAGCTGCGGGAAATAGCTCCGTCAGGGGACACAGAACTGTGCAGGCCGCTCGGCTCCCACAGGACAGGGCTGGAGCTGAGGAACCGCTTTCTAATCTTTCTCCAGATCTACATGGAAAATGTTCTAATTCCTAAGTTTTTGTTTTTGAAGGAATGCTTAGTTTCCTGGCTAGCTGAAAATGTTATGCTTCTATCATCAAATAGACTTTTTATTTCTCCTACCTCACAAACGAACATAAATAACATGATTTTTTTTTAAAGTTTCTATAGCTTGTGCTGAAAGCATGATTAATACTTTATAAAAACGTGAACCTTTCCTGAACCATTCTACATTTGTATAGTGTATTTGAAAAGCACATCACAGCAAGTCGAGGTGCCCCTCAGGCTGGGACGCCTGTGAACACTGGGTGCTGGGTGACCGGCACGGCCGGCATCTGCTGGGCCTCATTCACTCCTGTATAAAAACATCAGGGTTGGGCTCTGTGAATCCCATGGTCCTTTTTGCTCCAATAGGCCACGGCTCAATCTCAACTTCAGTCACGTAGGAAGGCAATGTCTTTGCTCTGACTTGACAGGTTATTTCCTGATATGGCAGGCAGTTCAACAGGCACGAGCAGGGTGGAAACGACAGGCCAGGCACAGAACGTCACCCAGGGTGGAAGGCCCCAGTGCCTGGCCAGAGACACCTGAGGGTGGGACCTTGCCCCTCGGGTACCCTTTCCTCCCCCAGTATGTCGTTGGACATGCAGTGGACCTCCTTAGAGGAGGGACACGGGAGCCAGAGAAAAGCCTCATTTGGCTTCCACAGAAGCCCTTGCGCACCACTCCCTAACGCATGAAGCCCTCAAGACCATGACCCACATCAAATGCTCTTAGGGACAAAGCCTAGGTCTGGTGACAGCAGAGAGTTGTGGCCACAACAGACATCACATCTCGGCCGCAGTTGTCAGCTCCAGGCCCAGGAAAGCAGCAAGGCTTCCAAGCACGCTTTTCCCCACCCTGCTTTCTCCAGCCTTCCGGTTGTCTTTGTCTTTTCTTTCTCCTAAGCTCCAAGGGCCTTTTTTCCGCCTCTGTGTGGGCTTTTCCTGAGTCTACACAGCCCAGATGGCTCACTTCTTCTACCTCTGTGGCTTTCTAAACAAACGTTTGCTTGTCTTTGAGTCTCAGCTCTGAATTCTTTCTTAGCCCAAACGTAAGGACCGAGGTGTGACACCTGGTGCCCTTCGCCGTCAGTACTTGGAAATGTTGGCTGATATCTTCACAGCTCTCTCTCAGTATTGTAAGATTTAGGTGCACAGCTGGTATGGGAATAAAGAAAGTGAAACAGAGAAACCGACTTTGCCCTGAGGGGCAGCTTCGATCAGAGCCTGTCTGTCTGTCTCCCTGGTATGTCCAGGATGTGTCTCCGTAACTAGGGAGCCCAGCCGATGCCGTCACAGGCCTGGGGAGCCAGCACCCAGGCTGGAGCCCTATGGCAATAGGCCTGGGGTACAAGCCCCCTGCAGGGGGGGGGGGGCAGTGACTCACGTCCAACACTGGGCTTTCTTTGTAAGAACACGCCCGGCTGATGCTTCCAGGAAGAGGAGAGGACAGGGCTTGCTGCTGGGGGCTGACCTCCTGGCTCTCAGGGCAGCTGGCACCCAGAGCTGGACCCTCCGGTCCCACCCTTCTCCATTTTCACTTTCTGCTGGCGAGCTCCGGCCCCTTGGGAATATTCCCAGCAGTAACGCCAGCAACACTTGCTCTCTAGAAGCCAGGAGCTGTTTGACTCTCAGGTCACTAAAGTTATGAGTCTATGAAAACAGTTTTTACTATCAGGAAGAACAAAAATTGTTTTCAGAATAATGATAACGTGCCACAGCCACGCGCCTGCCCGTCTGCACCACCGTCTCCAGGCAGGCCGTGGAGGGGCGGCGAGAACTGGACACACTCACCTCCTTGATCTGCTCCGAGCTAATGGGTTTATTTTGGGAATCGATTGCTCCTTCCGCCACAATAATGATATTCAGCCTTTTTTTCTGAGCCCGGTTCTAAGGAAACAGAAAATGAAAATCCTTTAATGCCTAAAATGCTCTTAACAAAACCAGGGCCAGTGTGCCCCAGTTGAACTGGCTCTTGTCAGGTAGAAGGGATCACCCAGCTTCACAAGCTCTGCTTCCTAAGGACACGGGAAGAAGGTGACGGTGCTCTGGGTGAGCAGGTGCAGGAGGGTGGGGGTGGACTCTTGCGATCTGGTGATGTCGCCACAGCTGATGGCACCCAGGCAGCCCCAGGTTGAGAGGCTGTGCTGATTGACCTTTGATCGTGATCCCCAGACATCAATGTGTGCACAGGCTGGCCCCCAACCAGTCTCCACTGCAAACCGAACTTCCAACCACTTCCCAGGAGGCCTGCCCCGGCCCAGGAATTCTTGGCCACTGGGATCAGAGGGCAGGCCCCAGGTCCAAGCAGGAGGCAGAAGGGCACAGGACAGAAAGTGGAAGGACTCGGGCCTGCAGGGTCAGAAACTGCCCTGCGCAGAGTAGCTGCCACTATCCTCACAGGTTCAGGGCAGTCACCCAAGGGTGCCCTGAAGTCACTCTCCTCGGGTCTGCTCTCTACAGTCAGGAGTCTGGCCGTGCTGGAGCTGCCCCTGCCAGGAGCCCAGGGACGTCACCCCAAGTGGGCCGTTCTCACGAGGCCACCCCATCCCGTGACCGAGGGCATAAACACACAGGCCTGTAGGGGTTTTTTGATAGATATTAATATATGTGCAACACTTTGGAGAATACATTAATCAAAAACTTTCTATAAAGTATCAACATGTGACTTCAGGAGTGATTATTTTAGCATCACTGAAAAAGCAACACCAGAAAAAATGATATGTCCATAACTGCGGCCTTGGCCACACTTGAGCCATGAAACCTAATATTCCAAGGCAGTGAGAAATGATGGAGTTGTGGGCACCCTGAACGGGGAGATGGCCTGAGCTGTCCAGGTCACTGACACCTGCCCCCCGTCTGGATGACACCCTCCCACCCTCCCCACAGACCTGCTGTGGAGCAGCCCATTCCCCACGTTACAGCCAAGGAGCTTAGGACACGGAAAGGCAAGGTGCCCGGCGGCCCCCTCGGGGTGGCAGAGCCAGGATCCCACCCCAGGCCTTCTGCTTCTACAGTCTCTCCCGATCCTATACTGCAATGTCTGTGGTGGGCATGCCCTGGGGCCAATTTGTCTAGAAAGATATTTGGAAAAATCCTCCCAGTGCTACCTTAATGACCAACGAAAATGAACTACAGGTACAACAATATCAAGTGTTTTCACACACAGGTGAGTTTACACCATTGGTCCTCACTCTGCCAACCCTCAGGGGGCCGACATGTTCCGACTCATGTCCTAGCCAACAGTGCACCTTATGAAGCCTGACGCCCAGGGAGTTTGCAGACAAGACCACAGTTACCGAAATAGTGGACAAACCTAAGATCTGTGCCTAAGACCTGACTGACGCCTCAGCCCCGCAGCCTCAGCAGGACCTCTGACCGACATGGAGGGTGTGTTTCCTCATCCCCGAGGGCTGCCATCAGACTTGGCCTGTGATGGTGTCATCCTGGGCCACTCCAGGAACTGTCAGAGAGGAGGAGGACAGCTGGCCGAGACAGGCATGACCCCTTGGGGGTTGCGACCTTATGCAATGTCCCCTGTGGCGGTAATTAAATGGACGTCCTCAGCAGCACAAAGAAGTACCTGTCTAGGGGTGTCACCCTCATCTCATGCAGCTAGCCATGTATCTCCCAGTACCAGCTGGCTGGCAGAGAATGCCGCCACGTGCCCAGGTCAGACCAAGAACCAACGACCTCATTATCACTTCTGGGCCAGTATTCGTACTTTGGATAGTCCTTGCAATCAATGGTCTATTTCTGGCAAACAGCTCCAACCTCAGACGGGCCTGACTCTTCCAAGCAAAGGTACAGCTCAGCTGATAGTGTCTTACATAGGGTTTTTGGTCAGCAAAGCTTATTTGTTACTTTGCTTGAATTCCCGTCTTCAAATCTGTTACCATGAAGGTGAGAGCAATGCCTTACTGCTCATGTGTCCTTGCTTCAGGCAGTGCTTGTGTTTGCTGTATACAACCGTCATTAGCCTCTGCCATAGGCTCCCATTTACCGGTAGACTGGCGATAAGAGGGTTGTAAAAATAAAGCATGGGAAATTCCCCTGCACGCTGGTACTTTTGCCCTGGAAGCTGTTGTTTTAAGTGAGACCTAACATGCCTTAATTAGAGGGAGGTGTGCCTTGCACGGATCATCCACAGTGTGCAACACGACCATGCCACCAACTACAGACAGGAGGGAAAAGCCTGCTTCAAAGTAATTTCCCAACCCAACATCCAGCCCAGTGCAATGGGCCACACAGCTGAGAGAAGCGTCGTAACACGTGCCAGTGAGGTGGGCAATTCAGATGAGAGTCAGAACACAGTCCTACCATTAAGTGGAGATAAAACAGGAAACGGATTTTCTCCCCAAAGCTGACTTCTCTCAATAGATGCAATCTCACAGTACTTCTCCACGTGAAACTAACTGGTGCTTTGCACGGAAAACAGAACACTTGTCGCTGTTTCTCCATGGCCTCGCTCTGCAGCACAGGGAAGCAGGCCCCGTGCCAACAGCACATACGTGCAGGTCCTATGCACCCCACTGAGGTTCGCTTTAGAATCCCAGTTTTCCCCTGTCCAAACTCTGTCCAAACTGAAAGCCCTAAAGGCCCTCACAGGGCATGGCCAGCACAGGGCACACAGGGTGGCTGGAGCCGAGGGAGGCAGAGAACGGGTTACCTCTAACAGCTTGGTGCACATTGTCTCCTGCCAGCCGTCTTCGGGTGGAGATTCCGGGAGGAACACCCAGTCCGCCCCACAGGCCAAGGCGCTCACCAGGGCTAGGTACCTACGTGGAAATGGCAAGAATCTGGTCAGGCTGTGGCTGGGCACCCAGAGCTCGGGGACAGCCTTGGGTAGACAGGACGCCCAGCCCACGTGGGAGCCGCGGGCCCTCGTGAACCCCTCCCGGGGCATTTGCACTAGGGTGCAGGGCTCTCCGGGGGGCTGGGAGAGCACTCTCCCCACCCAAATCATGGCTGCACATACGTACCCACAGTGTCTCCCCATAACCTCGAGCACAAAGGTTCTCTGGTGGCTGGAAAAGAGGCAGAGAAAACGTCCACTTAGCACGGCCGGGAGGAGCAGGCGACACAGTCAAGTGCTGTCGCAGCCACGGCAGGCAGAAAGCTGCACTGAACGACGGCAGGCGCCCGGCTTCCGAACAAGGAGCCCTTTACACAGAAGCAAACGCTATTGCAGGAGATTTCAAACTTTTGTGAGTAGAGGGGCTCGGGCAGTGAGCACAGGGCCCAACTCCACGTTTTCCAGCCTCTCACCCTCGGGGGAGAGGCAGGTTAGAAATGGAGCAGTCAGGACAGGGACACTTCCCCACACCTCCTTTATCTTTTTCTTTTTTTTATCCTCACCTGAGGACATATTTTGCATTTCTCTTCAGATAGAGTGGGAGGGAGAGAGGGAGAGAGGGAGGAAGAGAGAGAGGGAGAAACATCAATGTGAGAGAGACACATCTACTGGCTGCCACCCACATGACCCTATCCAGGGCTGGGGACTAACTGCAACCGAGGTGCGTGACCTTAGCGGGAACCGAACCCGGGTCTCTCTGGTCCGCAGACTGACGCTCTAACTGCTGAGCCAAACTGGCCAGGGCTATAATTATTTTTAAATTAAATTTTTTGTTATAGATGCCCCCCCCCCCAGACACCCTCCTCCCCGTCCCGACCCCCCTCCCCCTGCATTGTTGTCTATGTCCATTCGTTATGCATACATGCATATAAGTTCTTTGGTTCATCTCATCCATCCCCCCTGCCCCCCTCCTCTGAGGTCTGTCAGTCTGAACCGTACTCCTTTCTATGTCTCTGGGTCTATTTTGTTCATCAGCTTATTTTGTTCATTATATTCCACACATAAGTGATCATGTGGTATTTGTCTTTCTTTGCACCGTTTCCAATACTCAAGTGACAAAACCACCATACACCGTCTGTGGAACCCTCCAGAGCCAGCACGAGTGGCTAACAGCACACTCGGGGCCATGCTGCCTGCCCACCCGCAGGCTCCTCAGTGCCTACCTCTGGGCCGTGGTCATGATGGCATCAATGACCTCAATGATCCGGTGCAAAGCTGAGTCAGTGCCGATAGTCATGTCCGTCCCGCAGAAGTCGTTGTCAATGGAGCCCACCATCCCCACGACGTTGAGGTGCCCGTGCTCCTTCACAGCCTCCTTGTCTATCTTGCCTGCGTGGGACACAGCCACACTCTCCGTCACAGGGAGCAGCCCGTGGACCCCACAGGCACACGAGGTGGAGACAGGACGGCCGTGGGTACAGAAACCCAGGACTCTGAACAAGCTGTCTGTCTCTTGCTTTGTTTTCTCGGAACTCTCCATGACCTAATGCTCTACACTCACAGAAATCAGTGCCAGACAGCGGTGGAGGTGATGACAAGATGGGGTTGTCACAGACAACAACATGGGACTACAAAAGTCAAATTGCAGGGGTGAGTCTGCAGGTTGCAGTCAGTGGGTAAAACCTGACTTCTGTCTGGTAACGGCCGGGGACAATAGCGTGGCTCTTAACAAGGGAACATCACACTCACAGAATTAAGTACTTAGGACTATTACATAACCATCATATTGATTTCTGTGGGCTCACAGGGCTAGGGGCTAGTCGGTTGGTAGTGTCTACTTAGCACTCTCAGGAAGGACTGACAGAGTGAGCAGATCGGCCTAAACCCAATCCGAGTGCTCAAGGTTGGGGGCAGCCGAGGCAGGGACTCAGGCAGCTCCTCCTCTTCCGTGTCACCACCCACCCTGCGTCAGACCGGAGTCCAGGGACTGACGGAGTCCAGGGACAGACGGAGCTGCGCGGCCCCTGCAGCTGGCATCTGCTGGCATCTGCTGGCTGCGGGCTGCAGGGCAAGTTTACGCCTTTCTTGAAGCAGCCATTAGTCCCAGCAATATGACTCCTCTGGTCATGTTTTGTATTAAATTGCAACTATTTAACACATTTACCACAGTACAGGGAACTAAATACATTCTGATTATTGTTAATATTTGAGGTCCAATTCAAGCCCTGAGGTGGGGACTAAGATCTACCCGACAGTACCTCTAGGACAGCTAAACAGGCAGAACATATGAGGCCACAGCTCTCTGCAGGCAGAACTAAAGGGGGAGCAGACCCAGGAGAACAACGTAGCTGGCGTAGAAACGCACCCTGCGCGGCCAGCTCCTCCAGCAGTTGGCTCCACTCCTCCCGGAAGATATTGGCCCCAGTGAGACTGCCGTCCCCGCCGATCACGCACAGGTTGGTGATGCCCCTCTGCACCAGGTTGTGAGCTGCTTTCAAGCGGCCTTCCCGGCTTCGGAAGTCTTTGCACCGGGCGCTGCCAATGACTGTCCCACCCTGAAACAGAAATGAAATCCTATTTCTCTGTCTCCTAACGACCACACAGAACACTGGACAGATGGGCACATGTGAGCGCTGGTGCAAACACAGGACCGTCCAAAGTCAGATTTCCCTCCTTTCAATCTCTGGAGTCGGTTCACTGTGCAAGTTTGTGGTTTTTCCATTTTTAGCTCCTTCCTGGAATTCAATGGATAGAGACACTGGCTCCACGCCCAGAGAGAGCCAAGTAGGGTATGGAAACAAGGACCGACATCAGCTAAACATGGAGAAGAGAGTCTACAAGGTGATGACAGCCACCCCAGAGACTGTGCAGCCTGGGGCAGCTGGACCCTGCGCTCCCTGAGCCTAAGACAGGCCCAGCACTATGTCTAGTGGCCACAGGCAACAAGGCTTCCCCTCTGATACTCAGAGCTCACCATGTATGCAGGCAAAGTAGGAATCTGTGAACCAGAGGGATTTATTTTCAACTACATCTCCCTACCCTACCCCCTCTTCAAGGCTAAATATTAAACAAGCTTAAGTTGGGTCATCCCAACTTCCAGAGGGTTAAGTCATGATCTTCTCCACCCGGTGCTTCAGAAATAAAGAATTCCTAGTTTATTTAGAAAAATGCAGGGTTCCCTGGCACACATCAGGGATGTACTTATAAAACTGGATTTTGCATGTAATTCTTTAAATGCACGCTCACTGCATAGAACTCACTCTTCAACAGTGATTCTGTGTAACTGTCAGTATGGTGGGGATGAGGTTAGGACTTGACACAGCACAGGTGAGCCTGGGTGGCAGGTGCAGGGCGCAATGCAAAGGTAAGCTGGTTCTCTGAACTTTGATTTGGCCAGGAGCAATTAGAGGGCCATGTGATTTCTAACAACAGGAAGTGAAGTCAGCAGCCCATACAGAGTGAGGAGAGAACAGAGCCTGGGCCTCAGGGATGAAACCAGGACTGACTAAGATGCAGAGCAGTAGGCAGCACACACACACACACACACACACACACTCAGCTACACTTGTATCTGCTGTCTTCTGCACAATCACGACAGCAGCAAGGAAATGCTGCTCTCTGCACACAATGTGCTGTCTGGAATTCAGACAGTCCTGCCCTGATTTTTTGCAAATATCACTCTACCTAAGTATAGATGGCTGTCAAACTTTCCTTTAGTCTCTTTCCAGGAGAAACAGTAAAGGTCTACATTCAGACGGGTATTAAAATGTACTCCCTAATATCATCCCCACAGCAGTGCTGAGATGTAACTGATGTAAACATTGTATCAGCTTACTGTGCACAGTGATACATGCATATACTGGGAAATGGTTACCACAATAAGGTTGGTTTTTACATCTATCAATTTGCATAATTGTCTTTTTTTGCGGTGAGAACTTGTAAGATTTACTCTCTTAGCAACTTTTAGGTATACAATACAGCACTGTTAACATTTTTTTTTTTTTATCCTCATTCGAGGACATTTTTCCATTTTTTGTACAGAGTGGGAGGAAGAGAGAGAAAGAGAGAGAGAGGGAAACATTGATGTGAAAGGGACACATCGAGTGGCTGCCACCCGCACGACCAACCAGGGCCGGGGACAAACTGCAACCGAGGTACATGCCCTTAGCGGGAACCGAACCCGGGTCTCTCCAGACCGCAGGCGGACGCTCTAACTGCTGAGCCAAACCAGCCAGGGCAACATTTTTAAGGTATGGGACATGATGACTTAATATATGTACACACTGTGAAATAATTACTACAATCAAATGAATGAATACATCAATCGCCCCAAATAGCTACCTTTTGTGTGTGTGCTGTGGAAACACTTAAGATCTATTGTCTTAATGCATTTCAAATACACAAAACAGTATTATTAACTATAGTCACCATGCTGTACATGAGATCCCAGAACCTATTCATCTTATAACTGCAAGTTTGTGGCCTTTGGCTATCATCTTCCCATTTCCTAAACCCTCTAGCCCCTGACAAACACCAACTTATTCTTTGCTTCTACAAGTTCAGTATTTTAGATTCCACATAAGTGAGGTGATACAGTATCCATCCTCTGACTTCACACAATGCCCTCACAATCCATTCATGCTGTCTTATACTGCAGGAGGTCCTTCTTTTATATGCCTAAATAATATTCCATTTACTTTCCATATATTTTCCCATAATTCTTTCATCCCTACATCCACTGCACCAGCATGTCCATAGGCAATTCACCCATTTGGTTCTTCCCATTAAAAAGTACTCAACAGGAGCTGCAGATCAATACACAGGCTGCAAAAGACAAAACCACAGGAGCGGTTCATAAAGTCCATTCTCTCCTCATGATCTCTCTTTCTCAACTGTGTGGAGCCTTTGTTAAACTATATGGTGTTCTGGAAGTTTATCAGACATAGTAAAATATAAACAAAGTACCTGGGCAGATGTCCTTTTAAATTCAAAGTAAGCAGCTATTTCTTTGCCTGAAGTGGTGATTACTTTATCCTTGGGCACACCAAGGAAGTCCGCGCCGTGTGGAGCAGGCCAGGACAGAGCACTGTGTACCCTCTAAATCCTCGGCCCTCAGGCTACTGGCTGGGTCTCTCCCAGGTTGTGAGCCCCTGATGCCAAGAAACTCAAGAAAACTCAATAGGCACAGATATTTGCCACTAAACCCACAGCACCAACAAACCAAAGCTGCCTTAACATGAATCTGGTGTTAAAGCCCCCAAATCTGTGGCAAGTACCACGAGGAATGCTACCTACTGCGCATAACTTTTTATTGCAAGGATAATTCCTCCACATGCGTGACATATAGTGTTTTTACAATATTTCATTAAATGATACCTTAAGAAAGTTTCCTTTCCTGTCAAGCAGGTAAAAATAAGGCCACGCAGCACACTAATTAATCTGTTCTAAGTCTGGTTGGAGCACAAGGATCAAAGGTTTCACACTATGGGAGTTACGTACTTACACAGAGAAACAAGCTACTGAGTTCAGCACCTACCACTTGCAGGATGTTGGAGACGCTTTCCCAGTCTGCCTCGACGATATTTTTGCTGCCGTCCACCATGCCTTGGTAGCCCTGAGGGAGAGAATCAAAACCTTTTTAAAATTGGGTAAATGCTGTTGCAGCATTAATTGATCCTAAACTACTTGAAATATAAATACAAGTGACAATGAAGATCAGTGCCTAGGAGCTCGGCGGTTTGCAGACACAGCCCACAGGAGCGCCACTCAGTCATCAGTGGGGAGAAAGGCCCGGGGATTGAATCTGAGGGTGGGGATGTTGGCCCAGACTCGTCCAGAGCACTGTGGGGAGACCGAGGCTGGCCTGTTGCCTAATAGTGTCTGAGAGAGTGAAAAGGAACATACTTACCCTAAAACTGTTTGTCATTTAACACAAATGTACCTGGTGTCAATCACAAGACATACAGGAAGACAGCCCTGCCAGGGCCTCCATTTGCCCAGGCAAATCCATGCTATTTTTGAAATATATAAAATATTATTTACAAGTACAGCTGAATATTATTCTAGTAATTCAGTTTCCTTCCTTCCGATCGGTGACATCTGACTACACCAAGGGGAGACTGTGAGCCAATTAGGAGACAAGTGCATACTTTTGACTGGAACCCCAAAATAATCGCCTTTCAACTCTAAACACATCTATCTCTCTTTTACCCACAGAATATACAAGATCAAGAAATCTAGAAATGTTCATTTGCATCTTTGTCTAAGTGACTCACTTTCCAGGGCATTTACCCTTAAAAAGGGATAGGCCTTACAGGCCAGTATGGCTCAGGGGATTGAGCATCGTCCCATGGACTGAGAGGTCCCGGTTCGATTCCCAGTCAGGACACATGCTCAGGATTTGGGCTCGATCCCCAGTGGGGGGTATGCAGGAGGCAGCAGACTGACGTTTCTATCGCTCTCTCCCTTTCTCTCCAAAAAAAAAAAAATCAATAAAAACATATTTTATAAAAAAAAGAAATAGGCCTTAACCATTATTAAGGCTTCCTATAATTGATTATTACTGTGAATTCATGTCCCCTACCTAGTGAAGGCCAAGAGGAAATAGAAAAGGAATAAAGACTTAATAATAAAATGCCCATTGAGTATAGAGCTATGTGCATAAATTAATCAATAGTGTAGGCATCTTGATTAACTTGTATACTTATAGATGTAAAATGTCTATTAATACAATGATATATTATATAACATTACATATTATTTTATATGATGAAATACTCTATTATATATAATATACTAGATTATACACATGTACATATGTATTCATATTTGTTATATACTATAAAATATATCATTGTTATGTACTATGAAATGTATAATTATGTTTACTAATTGTGCATGTATAATAATTATAACATAATTATTAATTTATATTGTAACTATGCATTATGATATATTAGATAATATATTATATTCTATAAAGTGTGTGTGTGTGTGTGTGTATATATATATATACATATATATATATACACATATATATATATAATGCTCACCCGAAGACATTTTTTGACACTTTGTTCAGAGTGGGAGGGAGAGAGAGAGAGAGAAACATTGATGCGAAAGGGACACATGGAGTGGTTGCCACCCACACGACCCAACCAGGGCCGGGGACAAACTGCAACCGAGGTACGTGCCCTCAGTGTGAACTGAACCCAGGTCTCTCCAGACTGCAGGCCAACGCTCCAACCACTGAGCCAAACTGGCCAGGGCTATACAAGTATATTTTAATATATAAACACACATGTGTGTATGTGTGCCCAGTTAATGTTAGATATATACATATGTCATATATGAGAGAAACAGGAAAGGGAAAGCCAGCATGAAAAGGCACAGAACAAAGAAAAGTTGAGAGCAGGTTTGCCCTAGAGCTGCAGGTGTTTCTGCAGGTGGTGGTCACTGAGGCAGAGCCCTGCTTGCCAGGCTGTCTTCAGCCCCCAGAATGGCTGGTTCAGGTGGTCCACAACCCGCCCACTGCCTGGAGGGAGCAGCCATGGAGTTTCTTCCAAACACACCTCGGTCCAGCTGCAAGGATCCCTTCTCTCTCTTTGTTCCCATCTCCTTCTTGTGTAAGCCTGGCAGCATGACAGTTTCAGCCTAACCATTTAAAGTATGGAGCCAGTGTGGCTGTCATTGTGGACGGCAGGGTGATAAGCAAGAGAGTGACTGGATCCAGGCTCCCTCTGGGAGGAGAGCACTTATCAGGGTCACTATTTATACTGCGTCTTGGTATGTGAGTGACCTCAGGGACAGAGGCTGCACCAGGCACAAATTACCCCTCTGCTAAAGGACCAAATGCAAAACCAAGCTGCTCCTCCTTCTACGTGATCCCCAGGGACCTTATTTAAACAGAAAAAGAAAGAAAAGAAAGGGAAAGGGAGGAAGGGAGGAAGGGAGGAAGGGAGGAAGGGAGGAAGGGAGGAAGGGAGGAAGGAAGAAAGGAAGGAAGGAAGGAAGAAAGGAAGAAAGGAAGAAAGGAAGAAAGGAAGAAAGGAAGAAAGGAAGAAAGGAAGAAGAAAGGAAGAAAGGAAGAAAGGAAGAAAGGAAGAAGAAAGGAAGAAAGGAAGAAAGGAAGAAAGAAAGAAAGAAAGAAAGAAAGAAAGAAAAGAAAGAAAGAAAGAAAGAAAGAAAGAAAGAGGAAGATGATTGATGGATGAACAATGGATGAATGGACAGATGATGGACAGATAGCTAGATGACAAAGAGATAGATGATGGATGAATAGGTAATAAACAGATGATAGATGATGAACAGATGGAAAATTGAGAGAGAGAGAATATCTAGTCTTAGGGTTGCCATTTGAGTTCTTTCTGCCACCCCACACTCCAGGTCTCTGTTAAGAGTGCCCGCCACTGCAGCGCAGCACGCCCAGCACGCCCAGCACGCCCAGCACGCCATTCTTAAGGCAGGAGACCAGCAGGAGCAGACTGCAATCAGACTGCAGTGCTGACTTTCTGGCCTCATTGCTATGAAGCTTGGGGGGCAGGGAGGTGCACACGAACAGCCTGTAGCCCAGTCCCATGTTTCAGATGCTCCACCCCTGTGCTGAAACAAGCCCCACAGAGAGGGATTCTTGTTATCCAAACATGCGTACTTCAGAGAAGAGAAAATACACCTTTAATTGGGCCAGAACAGCAGGCATCAACCAAGACCATCCTGGGCAGAACAGGAGGGAAAACCAACTAACTGCACTAAGCACAGGCTCTGACAGAAAAGAGTGAAGCCCTCCCTGCCCACGCCGACGGCCACTGCAGCCATCGCTGCACGTTCCTTCTTTAGGTAACTAAGCGATAAGGGAAGGGAGCCGGCCAGCTACAGCCTCGCCTACAGGGACCGCACAGAGGTCGCTCCCGGATCCCGAGACCGTGCACGCTGCCGGAATCAACGTCCAGATTATTCCTGCAACACATGCTCCCCCGTCAGACACCACATTCGAACCAACGCTTAGTACCTGCCACACTGGGAGTAGAACAAATTCCTTCCCTTTATTATTATGCCTCAGAAGTGAAATACTGCTCTAACAGAAAACATTTATAAATCCTTTTCGTTTACTAGAGTTAGATCATGGAAAACAGTTTCACCAAGCATAACACATATTCTGAAAAGTACAATGTTCTCCGGACATATTTGATTATTCCGTGTGGCACAGTCACATTTGCTACGGCAAGCAGTGCGGAAGGACAGGACGACTCCGCGATGATGCTGTTCGCAGCACCCTCCTCCTGCACGCGGGCCGCGCTGGGGAGATGACGCATTCTTCCACTGGCCACGTTAAGCTCACATAACACTTGAAGAATAACTACCCACCGAAGTTTGGGGTGGCCTCTCATAAGGAAGGTGTTACTAAATTAGGAAAGCTGATTTGACACAGATGTACCATCATGTATAAATCCAGGGAAGTTTCTTGCAGTGAAGCCTCCTTGAAAAGCTGAAACTTATTCCAACACCGCCAGAGCCCAAGACACTCAAAAATTCTCCTGTGGAATTTGCTTTCACAGCCAGCTGTGTGACTCATAAGAAAAACAAACCATAAAAAATGTAAAGCCATGCTTAGTTTTTGAGCTAAAGTAATAGTACCTTTCTCGTGGGTCCTAATTCATAGGATGAACCCAGGAACCCCTTAGCCAGATGTATCGAATCCATGGTCCCACAGAACCTTTTACATGCAATCATCTGATCACATTGTGTTCATTTTCACTTGTGTTTAGACATTTGTTAAATCCATTCTAAAGAGAGTAAGAGCTGCCCTGGCTGATCTGGCTCAGCAGTTAGAGCATCAGCCCGGTCGAAGGCTTGATTCCAGTCAAGGGCATGTACCTGGGTTGCAGGTTCGATCCCTGGCCCTGGTCAGGGTCATGCAGAAGGCAACCAATCTATGTCTCTCTCATATCAATGTTTCTTTCTTCCTCTTTCTCCCCCTCCCTTCCACTCTCTCTAAAAATCAATGGAAAAATATCCTCAGGTGAAGATTTAAAAAAACAAACAAACACTAAGAGCTAGTCCATCTGTGGGTAGCATTCTCTTATGAGACATCTGTGCTTTTTGTTTTTTAAACTGAAGCCCCAGAGGGAAGCTGCAGCTTTGTGCTCCGACACAGCAGGCTTTTTCTTCCTGGAAGCTTCTGTTCTAGGCGTCCACACGCCTCGTCAACTCTAATGCTTTTTCCAAATCGGATTTCCTGCAGTCTTCGGGCAACAATGTACTGTTTAAATGGCAAACACTCCAACAGCCTACTAAAGAGAATGCACTTCACAAGTATTCTCTAGATATCATCACCACTGGCATTCAGAGACTTCTCCAGGGGTTTTGCTGCTGAAGTAAATATGTATTTTTGTTTCCTATAGAGGTAAGGTTTTCCTGGTTTATTCCTTAATAAATTGCAGCATTTCACTTACAGAACTTGAGAGCAAGCATGTGGAGAGGTCGGCTCTGAACTGCTCTCAAGGGTCCGATTCAGTAAATGCCACCGTGCACAACCAGGTGTGCGTGGAAAGGAGGCGGGCCAAGGGTCTCCATGTCAATGGTTCTCAAAGTTTAGAAATTATGTGTTTCCTTTGC